TTTGCCTAGCAGTTTGCATTGATGCAAATATTCTTTGTAATCTAGGAATTATAGGCAAGTAAAACATGAACTTTACTGGAACTGGCTTTTTATGGGTTGTTCCAAAACTTTTCTCATGATATCTTGGCTTTTGACAAAATTTACATTGAAGTAATGTAGCATCTTTTTTGCCATTGTCATTGTCATAAAAAAGCATACACCCACTCACACAACAATCAATCTTCTTCACTTCTAATCCCAACTTTGATACTAACCTCTTGGCATCGTAATAAGTTTTTGGTAAATTGTCTTTTATAGGTGTGACATCCAACAACATGCGTGTCATAAAGTCTAAGCATTGATCAGGAATATTCCAATTTGACTTGCACGCTAAAAGTCTAACACATATTGACAATTTTGAATCTGTTGCCCCCTCAAATAATGGTTTATTTGTCTTTGCCAACAAATTATAAAACCTTTGAATTGATTCATTTGGTGACTCTTCTATGTTAAGACAATTGGGTCCTTCAAATGATTGATGTTGCCAGAGAGAATTGTACATCATCTCTTGCATTGACATAAATTGGTCTTGTTCAGTCATGTGTACATCAATACATGCACCGCTAACACAAGTATCATCAACATTATTTTCAACTTCGAGCACACGTTCTCCATGATCTCGTCCAAATCCAATAATTTGGTTTGAACCCTTGCTTGTAAAGGTGAACTTTGACCATTTCATCCTTCAAAATTCTTGTACAATCGCATTTGGTGCATGGACATCGAATTCCCCATCAACGTTCGTAATACTCATATTGTCGAGCAAATCCGACAAACTCTTCAACCCCTATAACAAAAGACTCTTTCAAACCTCTTCTACCACTATAACATCTATCATACATCCAACTGCGATGGAAAGAAATACCATCCATGTTCTGTAATATAGAAAAGAATAAGATCAATTGAATGAATTGTGCAAAAGAAATTGACCATTGGATTTTGATTAAACTATGCTCCAAGTAAATCGAACATTGATTAAATATTGAATTCAACATAATAATATTAAGCTACTTTTATGTTGTCAAATCCAATTTAACATTGGACTTTCAAGCAATTAGGCTTGAACAAAAAAGGAATCAGTGTACTAAAACATATTTGCAAATATATAAAAGGAAGAATCAACCAGGTTAAATCCAGAAATGTCAATATTCATGAACTCAACTCACCTCACCACAAATAAATCCCCTTTCAAAATCAGTATGGATAGTCATATCTGAGAGTCTAGCATGAATTTCTAATTCAATAATTGTTTCATATTTCTACAAAAGTAAACCTCTGAAATGTTTTCTGCTCCAAATTGATTGTATCATCAGATCAAATTGCCTTACTTCCTAACTGAGCTCTACTCTGCCATTACTCTTGGCTGGGGATTAAATCAAAATAGCACAGAATCATGGATGTAACCAAAAATGCAAAAAACTCATTCTTCCAACATGTCCTAATCACCTCTTCTCTTCCCAGAAGTTGACATTCTAATGCTTTCATTATCAAACAAAAGTATTTATGTTATGCCCATTTTTTTCTAAACAAGCATGTCAAACTCGAACAAGAGATGAACTGTACGAAGATATATTTTTCTTATCTTACATAGAAAACGTATATAGCATTAACTAGTGCATCTTATTTTTTCTATTGTTGTTCAAAGCATATATCACTGAATATCAAAAACATACCGCTGGTGAGGTCACTAAAGATAATGAAAAGAGTCTATCTTCAGGTTGAAACTTTCTTGACCTCTTCAAGCTGCCATCAAGAAATATGATTCATCAATGTCATGCAAAATTAAGATGGAGCCAAACTATGATAAAATTTATATCTCAATTAAAACACATGAACACATGCATGAAGAAAAATTAAGTCATCTCAGAGACTCTGATACATCGAAACACAATAAAAAAGTAATCATAAGAAAATAATCATGACTAATAAATCACACTTCATCAACTTGTCCCCGCTTCTCAACATTTTGAACAATTATATTTCATTAAATTTTTTGGCCAGATTCAATTACTAATGCATCCAGGCATGTCCCAATAATGTATCAATTTATGTGGAATACCAACGAATCAATACAGAGTTACCAAACTTATGAGTTAGCTTTTCCCAACCATCAATATTAGACATAGCTTACATAGTTAACTATAAAACTATGTTCCTCTACATTTCCAGAGTTGAGTTGATTATTTTGAATAGATGAGACATGTTATTCTTTACATGCTGTAATATGTTATTCTAACTATTTAACTATGTAAGCTATCTCTAATAATCAATGAATCAAGATTACAGAAAACCCAAATTGAGGCCCAGTAAATATGGTCTGTGACCAAGTATATAACGAGATCACACACTTGAAATCACATCCTTACACTTCCTATTTTCCTCGGGATTATGATAAATCAGAATAATGTACAAACATAAAGCAAAAACAAACCCGAATACGGATCCCGACCTCGACTTCAACCTCCTCGGGGATCAAGTTCATGCCCTCACCTTCGACAAGGGACCGTGCTGTCGCTTCGATCCGTCGTGAGTGGATGGGTAGGGAGGCGATTCACGGTTAATGGTGGAGGCGACCCAAGCTACGTATCGCCCGACGGAGATGGGGGTGTTAGAGTGATTTTCGGTGAAGGTGGGGCGAGAGTAAGTGAGGTTGGTGAAGGTGATAGGCATCGCGGAAGGGCTACGACTGATGGTGAGTGGTTGTGACCAGTCATAAGGTGGTGTGGCACCCGAATTTGGAGGCTCGTTGGGAGAAAATCAGGGGAATAAAGTGAATAACTGACTCGATCTCGTTTAGGTTACAAGATATTTTATATATTAAATATATTTTAGATAGCGGTTAACGTGCAACCGCTATTATATGTTCACTTTTAAGAGCGGTTAAACTGGAACCGCTATCATATATGTGTCACTTTTAAGAGCGGTTAATATTTTAACCGCTCTTAAAAGTCAACATATAATAGCGGTTCCAATTTAACCGCTATCTAAAATATATTTAAAATTCTAATCAATTATTTCAAAAAGTAATCGATTATATGTTCACTTTTAAGAGCGGTTAAAATGTTAACCGCTCTTAAAAGTGACACATATATGATATCGGTTCCACTTTAACCGCTATCTAAAATATATTTTTGATAGTGGTTACTTCTAGAACTGCTATCTAAAATATCGATTATAACCAATTATTTGAAAATATAATCGATCATAACGGAGTAATTAAAAAAGTAATTGAGTTATAATTCGATTTGTTCGCAATCGAATCCTATATATATATATATATATATATATATATATATATATTTTTTTTTCTTTTTTTTATAAGAAAAAAAACTAGTATATATATATATATATATATATATATAATATTATAATATTTTATTTAAAATTTTAAAAAATATTTATTTATTTTAAAAATTAATAATATATTTAGATTTATGGTTAAACGTAGTAAAATAATATTTTCAAAATATATTATTAAATATTATATTTATATTAAAAAAAGATGAGTAAGGAGAGAAACCCAAACCACCATGACCGATCATCAACTTGATACCCCAAGACCTTCTATAAGCCATACTTCTAAAATAAATCTTACCATTCCCAAGTCCTGTAAAGAAACCCTAAGTCATAAGTTAGAAAACCTTATCGAATATTCTCGAATCCCAGAAGATGCCCAGATAGAAAGTTCTTTACCACCACTATTAAGTCCATATAATGTCTTTAGAAGAAACAAAGGGAGATTTTCCTGGAGTGTAAAAAATCTGATATCCACCCCCAGACCAGGAGTAAAAGAGATCATCCAAACCACAAAGATGGATAATTGTGCCCTCAGTGCTACTTCGGCGGAACAATATGTAGATCTAGAGATAGAACCTTCTCTCATCAAACTCTGGCAAAGAGAAGGATATGTGGCTCTTCATTTTGGAGCAGTCAGGCTGGTTCTTACCCTTCATGGAAGAAAAGGCTTGCCGGTAACCGCTAGAGTCTCTCTAATAGATTCAACGTTCCAAAAATATGAGCATGTTGTTATTGGAACAGTCTTGACTACGCTAAATTCCGGAAGTGTAGTTTTGACTATGTTTCCTAATTTCTGTGTACAACTAAAAGACCCAACTCTTCCAAAGAGATTCCGAGTACAAGTCCAGATTGTCGGAGCACCACAAGATGAAAGTGCTTTGTCAGCTACTCTCCATCACCAGCTAATCTTCAGAATCCAAGACCATTGTTATGATCTTCCAACAGAATCGCCATTTGCAAAAAATGCTCTAATGGTGATTTCAAAAACAGAAGAACACACTCCTTCCATAATCCAAATTCCCAGACAGATTCCTAGAGAAGAGCTTGAACAACTAATCCCGAGAGAATGGATTAGTAATTATGAAAATTTCAAAAAGAATCAATCACCAATCATCAAGACAGATCATGCATTCAAAAGACTCCCAGAGGGAATGGTAAAGACCATCTTCAAAAAGAATAATGATGAAGAATCATCATCTTCTTCAACTGTCTTTACATCTATGATGATTACCTTGGGAGAAAAGGAAAGGAAGATTCTTGTACATTCCTTCCAACCAGATGGAAAACCCATTTATTCTGACAAAATAAATGGACATTTCATATGGGATGAAAATCCAGAAATGTGTGACCCAGGATGCCCTTGCGCAGAAGCATCGGATGACTCTAGTGATTCAGATGATTCAGAAGAAGAAGAAGAAGATAATGATGATGATGAGGATATCCACAAACCTCCTCCCAATCCTGACAATCCAAGAATGGTGACTTCTCGCCAACCATTACCAATCTATGAAAAGATTTTAAAAGCCTTGAAGGAAAATTATGATCACTATTGTCAGGAGAAGGTGACAAAAGCAACTCAGCTGATACAAACTCAATGTTGTATGATGTTGTCTTTTGAAGAAGAATTTCCTAGTCTGCGTTGAGCAAATCCACAGGAGGAAATTATGATGAAACCTTTCATCTACAGCAAAGAAGTGACAGCAGAAGGAACCAAGAAACCTATCTCTCAGGCAGAAGAAGTGCTAAACTGGCAAACAAAAAATGCTTTAGCCCAGAATAGCCTACTACAAAAGATTGAAAGAAAAATGGATAAAATTGAATTGTCCATAGAGAAAGAGATCGGAGGCATGAATTCCAGGCTACAAAAGCACTATGCAGAATTGAAGGAGAAGATGGAAAGACTTGAAGAGGAGACAAGAAAAATTAAAGAAACAAGGAGATTCAACAACCTGCTCATTGAAAAAGAAAGAGAGTTACAAAAAACCAGAGAGCAGTATGAAGAACTTGTCCATTATGTAGAAGAGAAAAAGAAGATTCCCATCTTCGAAGATGAACCTTACTATGTAAGGCCATCAAAAGTATTTCCAACAATTTCAAGACAATCTCTTAAACCAACTCCACTTTTTCCCCCAAAAGACTCTCCACAAAGACACAGAGATTGGTTTAAAGAAAAAAGAAAAGAGAAAGAATCTGAAGAAGAAATTTCTCCTGAGCCTACACCTGAACCTTCTCCTAAGAAAACAGAAGTCTCTTCTGATGAAAAGATTTTCCAAGATGCCGAAGACCCTTATTCTCAATACACAATCCACCATATCAGTTCAGATGATTCAATTCCTTCTTCTGATGAAGAATCAGTGGAATCTTTTGAAGAAAACACTGAAACAGAAGAAGCAGAAGTAAACAATACTTTTATGGCAAATGATACAGATCAACCTTTTGTTGATAGAACGAGACTACATAGTCAGGAAGTTAACACTCCACATCCAAACAATAACATGCTGTTCACAATTGACAATATTCCCCCATCCCAATGGAGGAAAAAATTTCTAGATTTCAAAGCATGGTTAGACACAAAGATGGTGAACCCAGGAGCAGAAAGATACAAAGTCATAGAAGAATTCTGCGCAGGCATGACCGGAATTCTGAAAGAAAAATAAAGGAATAGTAGGCAACAGTTAGGCTCTGATACCACTGTGCTGGGAGCTCTGCATACTTTAATATAATCATTAAACCTTTCACATGCGAGACTTCAGTATTCCAAACTTACTTTCTCAAGCACAACTAATTAGTTTAATAATCATATCAAAATAGCAGAGACCGAAAATGGATCTGGATCACACAAACTTTCTGATGTACAAGATCCTCATGTGAGGCGAGTACAGAGCATACTTATTTATGCTAAATATTACTATTCCCTTATTCTTTATCTCACCTGATATTGATACGTGGCGTTGTTGTGACTTATCCCGGTGAAGGGAGTCTGCAGAGGATAGGCATGAAGGCCTCGCTCTGTAATTAGGTATAAAACCAACAGAGGTTCTCTGCTTTTCCAGCCAATATATCTCCATCGAGTTAGAAGAACACTAGCATAATAAAAATAAAGACTTTCAGGAAAGAAAACAAAAGAACTTAGAAACTCATGGGAATGGAAAACACTCAAGTTTTATTTCTGGTTTTTCGATATCTTACAATAACTGAGCACCTTCTCTTTTATAACCAAAAGAAGGAATATACGAGACAAACACTCTTAAATAATTTACATTGATTTTTCTTCCAACATTATCTCTACTTTATATCTTATTAGATACCTTTATATCACACCTAGCATATCTTGTCGATATCTTTATTTCACACCGAACATCTTTTGTCACATGGGTCTGTCACATGAGTCTTCTTTATGTCACATCATTTGAAAATGGGTTCATGACTTGGTGACATATTTGGGTCATCTGAGTCAGAGTCTTCCATATTTATCACGAAGTCTTCATTGTCATTATCTTCTTTTATCATAATAATTTGTCCGTCAATGTTTGCTTATTCCAGTTGTATTTGTCTGCTTTCTTGGATATTGACAAGTGGCATCACTCTTTCTTCTTGATCATGGAAAGGTCCAGAGTCTCCATCTGGTTTGCAAATTATATCTAACGGCTTTAAATGTGAACACGTGGAATTTTTGTTGATCATCTCTGAGAATGTTCCATTAAGCCTGTGCAATTCTATGATTAATTCACTTTGATAGAAAGGAGGTTGGTCCTGTTGAGTAAAGATCTTTAATCTTGGAAATGTTGACCAAATTCTGACTTGATTTTGCGTCCACAGTTCATATGATTCTGGATGTGCAAAATATGGCCTGTGAATTATAGCAACGGTGATGAAATATTCTGAGTTCCAATCTATCATTTGTCTTTGTGTTCTGTTTAGTTCTTCATTGACGGTGTTGATCCACAGAGAAATTGGTTGATATCAGCTTAAAAACTTAATTAATAAACTGGAACGATCTTCTTTCAGCATCCTTAACATCTTTTTTGTTGGGAAGATAATTGGATAATGATGCAGGATTGAGACACACCATAAGTACCATTGATCATCTTCTGTGAATTCTTCTCCCATAAGAATAGCAAAGATATTCAGAAAAGGAGTATCTGGATTGAACCAATTTTGTTTTGGAGGTATCTGGTGGTTTTGTAGAGACTTTGCTAGATATGAGAACATATTTTGTCTAGCAAACTGTTGCAAAGTTGCAGGGGTTTTTATAAAGTCAAATCTTATTTCAGGTGGAAATGGATTTTGAGGGTAAGGATTAGAAGATGAAGACGGGTTTTGCATGAAGATAAGTGGATAGGAATGGGTTGATGAAATGATATGGATTGGTGCAGGTTTTGGTCGACTCAGATAATCAGGGATAATGTTGGTATTTCCTTTTATGTGTTTGACTGTGAAATCATATCGGGAAAACCATTCTTTCAAGCGGAGTATCTGAGGATTTGGTGGTACTCTGTTTTTGAAATCAAGCATCTTTGGGAATGCTGAGTTGTCCAAATGAACTTCAAATTGATGTCCTCCGAGATGGAAGTCAAATTTTTGAATTCCATATTTGATCGCCAAAGTTTCTTTGAACACCGTGTGATAGTGTAATTCTGTTTCTTTGAATGCTCCGCTGGCATGTCCACAGTAAAAATTTTCATCTGCAAGTTCTTCAATTAATACAGCACTCCAAAAATGGTCACTAGCATCTATTTGCAATATTCTTTTTCCTTCTCCAGGAATCTTTAACGGTGGAGGGTCTTGAGAAATCTTTTTCAGAATTCTTACTGCTTCTGTTTGTTCTGTTCCCCATGGAGGAGGATTCTTTTTCAGCATCTTTGAAAGCTTGGAGGTGTAGAGTGCTATGTTTGGAATGAAGTTTCTTACATAGTTCAGAATTCCTAGGAATTGTTGGATTTCTTTTGTTGTCATATTCTCATCTGGGAATTGTGGTAGATTTTCTACAATGTGTGGTTGAGGAACATATCTTCCGTGAAAAAAATGCATTCCAAGGAAATCTATCTCTTTGACTCCAACTTCAGATTTCTTTGATGAGAGCATCACTCCATATTTGTGACAAAGATCATGGAATTCTTGAAGCAAAAGCTTATGATCAGTTTCTGTGGATGAGAACTGTAGAATATCATCAATATAAACTAGAGCATTGTGAAGGATGGGTTCAAAGATTCGAACCATGGCCTTTTGGAAAAGTGATGGGGCTACTTTTAGTCCAAAAGGAAGGACAGTCCATTGGTAATGGGCATTTGGTATACTGAAGGCTGTTTTGGGTCTGTCTTTGGGATTAAGGCCCAATTGCCAAAAGCCTGACTTCAAGTCTTGAGAAAAAATAAGCATCTTTGATGTAGGAATGAAGAGAATAGATCTTGGGTAATGGAAACTTGTCATCTTTGATGAATAGGTTTAATGATCTGTAATCAATAACAAGTCTCTTCTTTTGTCGGATTTGTTCTGACCTTTTATTGACATAAAAGGCTGGACAGGCCCAATCTGATTTCGTAGGCTCAATGAGGCCTTGTTTTAGTAGTTGTTGACATTCTTCTTGGGCTGCCTTATAATCTGATGGACTCATTCCTGGATGGCTTGCTTTTGTTGGATTGATGTCTTCACTTTTCTTGAAAGGAAGTGTGACAAAGAACTCTTCTCGCTTCCATAAAGGATTTGGATGAATGAAGAGATCATGACTTTCTGCACATAATTTAAGTAATTTGTTTCTGATTTCTTCATATCCAGGAGGAACATCTGCCAATGTGAATAAATTTGAAATTGGCACAAAAGGCTTAGTTAACCTTTTAAACTTGAGACCATCGGATAATATCTGCAACCTCCGAATTTGGATTAGAACATCTCTTCCTATTAGCACATCTTTTCCGTGTTTATCACTTCCAATGACTTTTATCCAGACTGTACAACCAGGGAAAAACTGAATTCCTACCTTCTATTTGGTTATCAAAGTTGTCTGAAATATTTCTCCATTTGCTGCTCTGAACTTATGGATATGATTTGTCCATAGCTTAGCTGGAAGGATTATGGGATTCATCATTGTCCTTGTTGAGCCAGTATCAATAAATCCTATGGCTTTGATTGGAACATCATACTTGGAGGGAAGAATGGATATTTCTGCATTGGGGAGTGAAGGAATTTTTGGTTCCGTGGTATTGACTTCTTGGATTTTTAACACAGGAAAATATTCTTCATTACTGGATTCTTCTGAGCTTTCTTCTGAATTTGCAATGGCAAACATTGTCTGGTCATTTGGTTCTAGTTGTTCTTCATACAGTGATTCTAGGTCATCTTCTTCTTTGGTTAAGAAAAGTTTTGTTAGCTTCGCAGATTTTTCTCTTTTGTTTGGACAATTTTTTGCAAAATGTCCTTTCTGTTTACAGATATGGCACCTCAGATTGTTTCCTTTTCCTCTGAATGGTTTTTTCTTGAAGAATCTATATTTCTTTCCTTTCTTCAGCTTGAATTTGGTTTTGGGAGGAAACCTTTTTGATTTTTTGTTTTTGCAGTAACAACCATCCTCTTTGCACTGGATCTGCAAATATTTTTTCTTGCAAGTTTTCTTGTATTTCTTTTGATCTGATGCCATCTTGCTGAACATCTTTTGCTGACTGCATAATTTTTCTTTAGCAGCAATGCAAGTTTGATAGATTTCTCCCATAGTCATCTGCAAGATTTCTTTATTTGTTTGTTGAAGTATCCTCCACATTTCATCTTGTAATTCTTCTGGTAGAGAACTCACAAAAGTGTTTTTTAGGCTAGGATCATTGACTCCGTTGAGCTGATAAAACCTTTGGGACATCCTTAAATAATGTCTGTCAAGGTCTTTCTTCTCCAAGGAACAACACTTCATTTCAAAGAATTCTCTCCTGGATTCTTGGTCCAGCAATGTTGCATTCCCCAAGAAGTGGAATTGTAATGCCCCAATAACTTCTTCAATAGTAGAATTATGAAGACTCTCTTGGTTGACTGTTCCTAGGGTTTAACCGCTCTTAAAAGTCAACATATAATAGCGGTTCCACTTTAACCGCTATCTAAAATATATTTAAAATTCTAATCGATTATTTCAAAAAGTAATCGATTATATGTTAACTTTTAAGAGCGGTTAAAATGTTAACCGCTCTTAAAAGTGACACATATATAATAGCGGTTCCACTTTAACCGCTATCTAAAATCTCGATTATAACCAATTATTTGAAAATATAATCGATCATAAGGGAGTATTTAAAAAAGTAATTGAGTTATAATTCGATTTGTTCGCAATCGAATCCTAAATAGATTTTTTTTTTATTTTGATAAGAAAAAAAAACTAGTATATATATATATATATATATATATATATATATATACATATATATGTATATAATATTATAGTATTTTATTTAAAATTTTAAAAATATTTATATATTTTAAAACTTAATAATATATTTAGATTTATGGTTAAACGTAGTAAAATAATATTTTTAAAATATATTATTAAATATTATATTTATATTATTTGTATGGTTAATTTTTATTTATTTATTTATTTATTTGATATTGTAATATATTTTTAAGAAATTAAAAATAAATTAAGAGCATAATAAAATTCTTAAAAATTATATGTATATAAGATGAAATAATATTTTGATGTAAAATTATATTTTTGAAATTTTTTTTTCTTATGTTTTAGTAATATTTTGAATGATATATATATATATATATATATATATATATATATATATATATATATAATGTATACATTAAGTTGATATATCTGTCACTTTTAAGAGCGGTTAATATTTTAACCGCTCTTAAAAGTCAACATATAATAGCGGTTCCACTTTAACCGCTTTCTAAAATATATTTCAAATTCTAATCGATTATTTCAAAAAGTAATCGATTATATGTTAACTTTTAAGAGCGGTTAAAATGTTAACCGCTCTTAAAAGTGACACATATATGATAGCGGTTCCACTTTAACAGCTATCTAAAATCTCGATTATAACCAATTATTTGAAAATATAATCGATCATAACGGAGTATTTAAAAAAGTAATTGAGTTATAATTCGATTTGTTCGCAATCGAATCCTAAATAGATTTTTTTTTATTTTGATAAAAAAAACTAGTATATATATATATATATATATATATATATATATATGTATATATATATATAATATTATAATATTTTATTTAAAATTTTAAAAATATTTATGTATTTTTAAAATTAAGAATATATTTAGATTTATGGTTAAACGTAGTAAAATAATATTTTTAAAATATATTATTAAATATTATATTTATATTATTTCTATGGTTAATTTTTATTTATTTATTTATTTGATATTGTAATATATTTTTAAGAAATTAATAATAAATTAGGAGGATAATAAAATTCTTCAAAATTATATGTATATAAGATGAAATAATATTTTGATGTAAAATTAAATTTTTGAAATGTATTTTTTTTCTTATGTTTTTGTAATATTTTGAATGATATATATATATATATATATATATATATATAATGTATACATTAAGTTGATAATAATTATTTTAATGTATACAATAAATAAATATATATATATATATATTATATATATATATATATATATATATATTAAATTTGAAATTAATTTGAAATTAATATATGTAATTTTAATTTATGTTATATATATAATTTTTTTAAAATTAATAATATATTTAGATTTATGGTTAAACGTATTAAAATAATATTTTTAAAATATATTATTAAATATTATATTTATATTATTTGTATGGTAATATCCATTGGTAAGCACTTCCTCCTTATTTACCGACAGATATAT